TATATAAATTATGCTTATCTTGGACAGGATACGGCAACGGGCGAGCACTTGCACGTCACCGATCAGTCTCGTTTGGCCACCCCCCTTTTGGCCACGACAATGACAATGGCCATGGCAACGGCAAAGGCAAAGGCAAAGGCAACGGCAACGGCAACGGCAACGGCAACGGCAACGGCGCCGGCTTACCGTCTGGCAACCCAAATCTCGTAAAAACCACCCCAGCTGTAAGAAGTTGAGTTACATTTTGATGTTTCGCGAGCGACGACAAAAAGAATAACAATGTGTTCACTCTGTGTAAATTGGAACAGACAGGCGGCGGCACATTTGTAATGTTGTGCCATACAAATCAGCACATGGTAACCGGTGGACAGCAGCAGCAGCAGCAGCAGCAGAACAGGAAGCATACATGCATACAAACATAGATACATATATACATACGTAGGATATGATGAATACAAGCGCAATTAAGCACACGCACGCACGCACGCATGCACGCTTGCCAAAAACCCAGCCCATGTCGAAACACTCGCTAGACAGGCGATTGCCATCGAGTTAGGGGGTGTACGCTGTACAGAAAACAACCCCAGCGTTGGTGGTGGCAGTGCAAAACAGGCACAGACACACACACACACAGACACACATGCAGCAAGCATGACAAACAGCCCTCGCGGTTGGCAAGGATAATGTGCAGGCAAAGAAAGAGACACGGAGAGAGAGACTAGCCAGCATATAAGCTGCATCATAAAACGGTTGACGACCTCATATTGAATTTTACTTTTTTTTCATTTCAAGAATAAAAAAAGAAAAATAAAAAAAAAAAAAAACAAATATACAAAAAGAAAACAAAAATTGCAATATTATTCGAGAGATGATTAGAATTTAAATTCTAACGCTATTTTGCCATTCACTCAATGCTCTGTTGTGCAACATTCTGGCAACACTTTTTGGACAGTTTTCAGGCGACTGTGGGCGTATGTTTGACATGCTTGCTAGCATACATACATATGTACATATATACATATGTACATATTTCCAGGCTGTTGGAACGGCACCTCCATGAACACCGCCATTTTGATTTTTACTCGCGAGCAAATGTAGTTTTTTTTTTATTTTATGGTAATACTTCTTTGGGCGCTAAAATTTTAAATGTTTCTTACTATGCCGCTGCTGCAAAAATACATTTTGTCTGAACATATTTAATTCAACCACGAGCATTCGGAAATATTGGTATCGTAAGGAGAATCCCTATAGCCAATCACCCACCAATAGCACTCGGGTTAACGAAGTTAGGCGATTTTCCAGAGAAAGGAACCGATTACCTGAGAGAGTGCATAATTCGGAGAGTAAAACTCGTATTGAGCATACAAAATACGAAAACAAAGCAAGAAAAATAACAACAGCAGCAGCAACAACAACAACAATAATAATAATAAAAAAAAAAAAAAGAAAACGGTCAAACTCACTTCCCCTTGATCATACGTTCTGAGTGCTCTCGGTCTCGCTCTCGCTCTCGTTTCGTACAACTCAACACATGCACATACATATGTACATACTACGTTGCGAGTATGCGTCTGTATGGCGTATGGGGTAGCAAGCTTTGTGTTGGTTGTGCTCGCATTCGCGTAATTTTCATTTCTACGCTAGACGTTGTCCGCCGCAGTACGTTTAAATGCTCGTGTGCGCTGCCTCAGCTCGTGTGCTCAGCTCATTTTGCAATTGATTTTTTATTTTTTTTTTTGAAAAAGTAATGAAAATACCGACAAGAGTATTCAATTGTTTAAACAAAATATAAGCATTGCCATAGAAAACTACGTGAAGTGCAAGAACAAAAACAACAACTAGAAAATACCACCAAAAAATTCTCATCATCAACAACAACACAACAGTAGCAGCCGCAGCCGCAACCAAACGTAAGAGTAACGTATAACAGCGACAACAAGAAAAAAACGCTACCAAGAAATAAAATGCTACGAAAATTGCCAAACGACCACTACGCGCTGCATAATTGTGCAATTATATACACATTCATAAATATATATGTATTTTTTTTTCTTGTGTGTGTGAAACAGTTTGATATATGCATGCTAAAATGCAAAATTATAATATGCAATGGGTATGGAGGAAAAATGTAGGCAAGACGCACAGACTACAAACGGCAGCGTCAAACAGTTCAACAAACTCAAAAGACTGGCAGAGAGGCAAACAAACGATCAGTGTCGGGGGTCGGCAGGGCTGGAAGACGGAACAAAATTAGTAGTAAAGCAGTCGTAGTAAAGTAGTAGTAGTAGTTTGTTTAAGTTGTTGTGCGTTCAAATCTACTGCTAAATGCCGCAGTGCTGCTGCCATCGCAGTCGTTCTTTCTCTCTCTGTCTTTGTGCTGTGTATCTGTAAAACGGTTTTTCTATGTGAGCGAGTGTGTGTCTGTGTGTACACTGCTGCTGTGTCTGAGTAACTGTGTGAGTGGCAAAAAGGGCGCAGCTAGCATATCGATTTTATGTGCAGGAAGAGAAGCAAGCATTGTAAGCCGACAACTACAACTACAATTGCAGCAGCGGTGGCAAATAGTAGTAGACTTGGAGCACACTTCATTTTCCATTCAATTTTGCTGCAGTAACAGAAAAGAGTTACTGAAAGCCGGCAGCTAAAGTAGGAAATTATAAACAAAATGTTAATTGTGGTTGTGCGTGTCTTTTCTTGTTTTATCTATAAGTAGTAGAATTAGCATTTGCTGCGAAAGCGTAGTGTTTTGTTGCCACAGCAACACTCAAGTTAAACCAAAAAAAATGTGTAGTTCGCGGAACAGCGAGAATTGCGCGGAAATACAAATTAGAACAATTCTACAACAAACGCTACAGCAGTGTATAATTCTATATTTTTTGTGTGCACTTCGTTTTTAATTTTACTTGTTTTTAAATTAAACAAGAACAACAAGCATTGTGGAAATAAAAACGAAAGCAGCGCGTGTTTTAATTTAATAAGCGCGTCGTCTAGCAATAACAAAAAACTTATAGATACTAAGTGCGTCTGTGTGAGTGTGTGCGCGAGTGTGAATGTTGCTAATATATATGTGTGTGTGAGTTTGTTTGCAAACATATTCATTTATATGCCTGCATACATCCATTCGTATGTAAGAGTAAAGTATGCATGATTTTATGTAAAAGAAGTGCGTTAGCTCTAATGCATATGTATGTAGGTACATATAAACAACAACACGCGAAACAAGAAGAGCAACAACAAAAACATTACAGGGAAATGCTATACATTGTATAGCTAGCTGAATAAATGGCGCAAGAGAGAGAGGGAGAGACGCGGTTGGTCGTTCGCGCTCAGCTCGCTTCGCTCTCTTCCCAATGGCGTTCGCCATAAATTAGCACAGTGGCAGAGCCGCAGCAGCAACTGAGAGATACTGTTATAATCATCAGTATTATAAAAAAAAAAAAAAACAAACAATCGCAAAATTACAATAACAACAACGGCAGCAGCGGCGGCACAGTTCGAAATTGTGTAACAAAACATTTGCGTCGATTTGTTTTAAATAGTAAAATATGAATTTATACATGTGCACATAGACACACATTCATATACGCATGTATGTATGTATGTGCATGTGCGCAGAATTGGGCAAAAATTTAGACCTTTTTGTTCATCTTGCTGTTCTTGCATTCGTTGTTGTTGTATGAGCGGTTGCTTGGGTTTGTGAAAAATCGATAAAATCGATAAAGACGATAACACCAACGCCCAATGGCAACCACATATATGCAGTTATATTTACCGCTTATTTTGTTTTTGTTTTATACACTCTCTTTCATACAACAACATTAGACGACGACGACTACGTAAACGACAACGGCAGCGTTTGATTAATTAATAGCAACAAAATTGCTGAAATTTAAGACAACAGCAACAACAATAACATATCCTGGATAAATTGAGAGCATTGTCTAGCCGACTGCTGAATAACGGTGAGCAGCAGTAAGGGAGAAAGACGAAATCAAAAGGAGTAGCGCCGTGTAGAGCGCGTGCGCGACAACAAATCAAATCAAATCAAATTTGTTTGGTAAACACAAAATAGCAACATTTTAACTGAAACAAGTGAGTATATTTTCAACATTTCTATAACTGTGTGTACATACGCACATACACATTTACATATATCCATAACTGTATATATAAGAAGCGAAAAGGATGAGCGGTTTTATTCCAGACATTTTAAAATCGCACGCAGTCTATGGTGTGGGTGAGGTAGTTAGTGAGCGAATGTGTGTTTGTGTGCGTGTGCTGGTGTCTGTCTGTATGCGTGTTTGATTTTGTTTGACCTTTTGACTTGTATGTGTGACRTGCGAGAGACGCTGCCAGGCCAACAGCAACCACCCAATGTGCAAGTTCACAGATCATGCAACAGCAGCCGTTGCGACGACAGCGTTGCCAGACAGTTCGAATGAAAATAAGCAACGTTTTGTTTGTTCCAGATAAAGGGGGTGGCATTGTTCTGCTGTATTTAACCCTCAGGCGAGTCCAAGCTCACCTTTTGTGCATGCATATGTATGTATATGTGTGAGTGGTAGTAATTTTTGCAAAAGCAATATTACACTTTGTTGTTGGCTTTAAGGGTTGCATATGCAGGGCGGGTGGGTTGCACGGTAGCACGTTCAACGTCGGATGCTCATTTTTAGTTTACAAACTTTTTATTCTTCTTTTTTGGTTGCCTTTCGGCTTTCGTTTTTCGTAAGGGGTATGTCCTGCCACTGTGGGAAGTAGAGTTCGTTGCCGTTGCCGTTGCCGTTGCCGCTATGCGTGTGCGTATATATGAGTGTGTGTGTATTACATAACTGGGTTTGGCCGGGTACATTACGTGCTTTGTTACAATTTACAACAACAACGACAAGAAGAAGAGCATCAGCAGCAACGATGTTAACGACAGCCGGAACAGTAGCGGTAATAGGACGAAAGACGCTAACGCCAGCATAACACGAATGCCTTGTAAGGACCTGCGCTCAGTAGCATCGCGTGCTTGCGACGCAGCGGGTCTCGCATCGGCATCGACATCGGCAACGGCAACGGCAACGACAATTTCGAAAAAGCTCAACTCAATAAATACAACAACAACAAAAAAGAGCAAAACTCTCAATCTGTGAAAAACTCCTTTTCCCACGCAGTTGTAGGTGGGTTGGTGTGTGAGCTTGTGTGCGTTTAATGTTAATTATTGTGTGTGCTTGAGATTAAAAACGCTCTCTTGGTGGCTGACTCGTGTTCTAGCACTGGCTGCCTCTGTCACTCTCAGTGTCTGTCCCCCTATCTCTCTTTCTCTCTCCCACGCTCGCTCGCTCTCTGTGTGTGCGTGTGGTTGTTTCTGATTGTGTCTGCGTGTGTGTGTGTGTGTGTGTGTGGGGCAAAAGTAAGTTTTGAACGAAAGTTTTTCGTTAAACTGACCCGCTAGATGGCGCCAGTGTGCACGCTCTGCATTGAATGTGTCGCCAATAACTACCCGAAATCAAATGCAATAAAAACTGCTTCGGCTTGTCGAAGTTCAAATACCCTTGCAGCTACAGTAGGCGCACGCTAAGTGGAAATATGTACTGACAACTTGTAGATGTAACTAATGTAATGTAACTAATGCGAAACGTGCAAATCAATTGAAATACATTAAATTTATATTGATTTTGTTTTTGTTTGTTAATAAAAGTTGTCTATACAATTTGATTATTAGTAGGATTTAGACCAAGTGCAACTATTTATAAAAATGGGAAAATGAATGCAACAAACGTAATTTTAATATGTTTAAATATAGTAGTAGTATAAGTAAAGTTATTAGTTGATATTATTACTTCTGTTTTAGAATTGTAATAATAAAATAGGAAGAAATGCGAGTAGATATTCATTAAAGCAATTTCAAATATGAATATTAATTACCTAAAACCTGTTATTAATTGAATTCGAAAGGCAGTCTTAGAATTGTAATGATAAAATAGATAAGAAATGGGAATAATTGACATAAACAAAGTTAATGACAAGATTTAACTAAAGTTGTTAAGGTTAATGCTAAGGATTTAACAGTCAAACAAATTCTAATCATAGATCTGCTGCAAGGGTATGGGTATCATGATAATTATTATTTTGCTAAGAGAGGGCGCCAATGAATAGATCTAATGGGGTTTATTTAATTATTAAGTTGACTTCAACTAATCACTGCTAATCCACATGGCAAATGATTTAATCTTGACAATCTATCCTTTCCATTTTCTATGTGCTTCGTCTCTGTGGAATCTGCCCCTCCCCCACRACGAACAACAACAACAACAACAACTATTGATTGGAAAACTCACAGTGGACTTTATGATGGCTAATACGGGCGCCACCGGCGTGGAGACACAGGCGCAGTTGATGCAGAGCGCTGCCGCGGCAGCTGCCGTTGCAGCCACAAATGCGGCAGCACCGGTGCAGAGTGCAGCGGCCGTGGCCGCGGCCGCCCAGCTGCAGCAGCAGCAGCAACAGGTGCAGCAGGCGATACTTCAGGTGCAGCAGCAGCAGACACAGCAAGCGGTTGCCGCAGCAGCCGCCGCCGTCACCCAGCAACTGCAACAGCAACAACAGGCCGTCGTACAGCAGGCCGTCGTGCAGCAGCAACAGCAGCAGGTCGTACAGCAACAGCAGCAGCAGCAAGTACAGCAAGCGGTTGTCGCCGTGCAGCAGCAGCAGCAGCAGCAACAGCAGCAGCAGCAGCAGCAGGTCCAGCAACAGCAGGTGCAGGTGCAGCAGCAGGTCCAGCAGCAGGTGCAGCAAGCCAACACGAACGGCAACTCGGGCGGCGCCCAGAACGGCAGCAACGGCAGCACAGAGACGCGCACAAATCTGATTGTGAACTACTTGCCACAGACGATGACGGAGGACGAGATCCGTTCGCTGTTCAGCAGCGTGGGCGAGATTGAGTCGGTGAAGCTGATACGGGACAAATCGCAGGTCTATATCGATCCGCTCAATCCGCAAGCGCCCAGCAAGGGCCAGAGTCTCGGCTATGGCTTTGTCAACTATGTCCGGCCCCAGGATGCGGAGCAGGCGGTGAATGTGCTGAACGGCCTGCGTTTGCAGAATAAAACGATTAAGGTGTCCTTTGCGCGACCCTCGTCGGATGCCATCAAGGGCGCCAATCTGTATGTGTCGGGCCTGCCCAAGACGATGACCCAGCAGGAATTGGAGGCCATCTTTGCGCCATTCGGTGCGATCATCACATCGCGCATCCTGCAGAACGCCGGCAACGATACGCAGACCAAGGGCGTCGGCTTCATACGCTTCGATAAGCGCGAGGAGGCAACACGTGCGATCATCGCCTTGAACGGCACCACACCCAGCAGCTGCACCGATCCGATTGTTGTGAAATTCTCAAATACGCCCGGCAGCACCAGCAAGATCATTCAGCCCCAATTGCCCGCATTCCTCAATCCGCAGCTGGTGCGACGCATTGGCGGCGCCATGCACACGCCGGTGAACAAAGGACTCGCACGCTTCTCCCCGATGGCCGGCGATATGCTCGATGTGATGCTCCCCAATGGACTGGGAGCTGCTGCTGCGGCGGCCACAACGCTGGCCAGCGGACCGGGCGGTGCATATCCCATATTCATATACAATCTGGCACCCGAAACAGAGGAGGCGGCCCTCTGGCAGCTCTTCGGGCCCTTCGGTGCTGTGCAATCGGTGAAGATTGTGAAAGATCCCACAACGAATCAGTGCAAGGGCTATGGCTTTGTCTCCATGACCAACTACGATGAGGCAGCCATGGCCATACGTGCGCTCAATGGCTATACTATGGGCAATCGGGTGCTGCAGGTCAGCTTCAAGACCAACAAGGCCAAGTAGACTGCTTCTGCTCTGCTCTCTCTCCCTCTCTCTTTCTCTCTCACTCTCTCCAACAGCAACAATAGCAACAGTAGGAGCAGCAGCAGCAGCAGCAGCAGCTACAGTAAACCCTGCCAATTCACCATGAAGGAGCAGCAAACAGGAGTGCAAGTACACCCACATACACACACACACAATCACACACACACACACATACTTATCTAGTTTATACACAGAGAGAAACTTCACTTATACATATATAAATATGCATGGTCTTAAGGCTAACTAAGCGCAACAACAATGTGTTTAACACACACGAACACACACAGAGACACACACGCACACACACATACTACAAGCAACTACCATGCGAATGAAGCAAGCAAAAAGAAACAGAAAACCGAAAAACATTAATTTTTTTTGGAGCTCTCCTTCGGCTTCACGTCTAAACAACGAAATGACGGCCCACAGCGCCGGCCGTTGCAATAGCAAAATTCTTGTTTAGCATTAAGTAAAAAGTTAAAAAAAAAAAAAAAAAAAACAAAATACAAATCTAAAGTAAACTAAACATTAAACAAAAGAAGATAATTATGATGAAGAAGAAGAAGAAGAGTACGTGTGTAATTGCAATATATAAAAATTAAACAAGCTGACGGAAAAACAGCTGCAGTCAAATTAGTCGCAAAAAAAAAAACAAACAAAAAAACAAAGAAATCAGCAAAACAACAATTCTAAGATTTAATTAACCAGAATTAACCTAGCAAAAGGAACATAAACATTTTTTAAAATTATATAACTAAGTAAGCAGCAATGAAATCTTCCAGTAACAAAATGAAAAACCAAAAACTTTTCTATATAAAAGTAAAAAAAAAGAAAAAAAAAAAAAAACAAAAACAAAACAAAGACAGCTAAGAAATGTGTGGAAAAGAAACAGAAAGGCTTGAAAGATTTTGACACAGTTCTTTTTTCTCGCAGTGTAGGCGTCAGTGCCGTTAGTTTTTGAGTTTTCCAAGCGAAAAAAAAGTATTAAAGAAAAAATAAAAATAAAAAACATTAAGCATAAAAAGAACACAAGGAGGCTGCTACAGTATTAAAAAA